AACTGTGTATGTCTAGATATACTGTATAGTGTAGTAAAACGTAGCATTACACGGTGAGCAATAAAATTATAATTCCGGAACTGTAGGTAAGATTTTAATACTCGTACATGGCAAGAGGCGGAAAACTATAACTTTTTTTACTAATCCGCAAATTACAGTAAAAATTCAGTTAATAATTTCCAAAAATTAATAATAATTAAGAACTAATGGTGGCGCAGATTTAAGCAACAGTTCACAATACTGGCATTACTATAACACTGATAACATTTTCAATCTGACTGCAGGTTTTCGATATCCTCTCACAAATTTTGTGAGCAGCCCTCAGATGTAGGTTCTGCGATACAACCTAAACAAATAGAAATTACCGAAAATACCTCAAGAAAAAGCTCAATTGTTGGACAGGGGTTTATAAGAGAAAGTAACATAAAACTAGTAACATCAATCTGATGTGGGCCTAATAAACAAAGCATGCTCAAACTCTATTAATAATTAGGAAAGTTAAATGGCATCGCAACAGAAATTCCAGATCAGGCCCCAGATGGAAAGGAACAACCGGTCGACATCGAAGATGCGATAGCAACTCCTTTGTAATTACATTTACTTTTTGTTACGATTTGCAAATAACTATACCGAGACTTGTCAAATGTCATTATGGCTTTTTCACAAGTATCCATTATGTTTTGACGTCTACTTAAGTGAACATCGGCAGGGTTATTATGTAGAAAACCTAAAAAACATAAAAAAGTCAAATGCCATCTTGCAGACCGAGTAGTTTTTAGGGTGCAAATAGTTCATTCCACGTTTGCTCGCTATGATCGCTGTGACTCAACGACACGACTCGCTCAAGCATGCATTGTTGGTTGCAGAAAGTCAAGTAGTGTTTATGTGTTTTGGTCTGGTTGTGTATAAAATCCGTGATAATTGCTATGTGAGAAAATCATTACTGAATATGCTGCCAATGAAGTATATCAACTAGCTGTGCCCTACGGGTTATTTATATGTTGTGGGCTGCTGAAGATAGGTTGTGTTCAACGTTATACTATTACGATTATTATGATTTTTCCCATTCTTTCCCAACCGTTGTGTGTAACTATTGTTATCATGTATATGACTTGTGAGTGTACAGTGAATATAATTGCAATGTGTGGCAGTATCTAACTATAAAGTATGATGACCTTTCAAAATACGGTAATACCCGTGTGGATCAGCAAGTGAAATATTTGTATTAAAATCTAAAGTATTGGCAATAATGAAAATTAAAGTTGTTTCATTTTTACCTATCTTGAACTGTAGTCATGATCATTAGCATCCATTATGCTTTTAGCGTTTCTACTTCCCACCGCAACTAGCAGGGGGTGGGGAGGTTATATCTCTTTTTTTTGAGGATTCTGCTCCCGGTTAAGTGTTCTGTATTACTGCCGCGCCATAGCATAGTGTTGCCTATGCTGTGGCCGCAGTGCCACGTCTAACCGGGTAAGGTATCGGGGACAGGCGACGTTCCAAAATGAACTAGAGGTAGGGCATGGGAAGAGTGTCTATGGAATAATTGTATCGACCAGACTGGTTTTTTTCTCAGAGTGTCAAGTTTGTGCCGATCATTATCTTTTATGTACCGATAACGACGTTGCGTGAGAGTGCAGAGTCAACCTACTTGACATCATTTTTTCTTAGGTGCTCAGGAACTTTTCTAAATAAAGCGAAAATGTAACTCTATAGTGTAATGACCACAACAAAAGACCCTGTCTACATATATAGCGTTGAGAGATCCGTTGGGATTGTGTGTCATTTGTCGATATGCGGCATGTTGAAATGTTACTAGATAATCAGTTGTTATTTGCTGCCACGCTGAAGGATTGGATACCCGTGAAAAAGACTCTAGCGCGACAAAAAAAATTTCGTGGATAATATGTTTATATTGTGGACAGATAATGGATATTTGAACACCATTTGTACGACATTCAAATTTTAGGATCTGGCTACTCTGAGGGGGTAATGATGTAAGTATATGCTTACGATTTATAAAAAAGTGGCTCGTTAAACGATGAGAAGTTGACCATATATTCCACGACTAATGGTCAATATTTATTTATTTATTTATTTCCAACAGGTGAAACCCAATTACAGGAAGCGCTGAAAACAATAACAATTAAAGAGACATGGTTCTTGGACTTAAATCTATAGTATCACACATTCTAAATAAGATTGGATCATCTATAGCAGTTAATAGTCGATGCACAACTGTCACTGTAAATATCACACGATTCAGTAACACTGTTCATGACGCAGCACATGAGATTAATTGGCGATTTTGTCATAACATTTGTACGGCCAGCTTGACAATAGAATGCCGTTTGTTGTCGACTCCCTAGCCTTGGAACGCGGAAACATATTTTTTCAAGTAAATTTTGACAGTCAATTTTATTGTGAATGAGGCCATACAAAAACGACAAAGCAAATATGTTTCGACTTGTTGACAGTGAATCCAAATTGAAAAACTCTAATAGGGCACTATGGATACGACCTCTTTCTGGATAAGAACCTGTGCATTTAAGGTGAAAATACTTTAAAGCTTTACGTTGAAGGGCCTCAAGGATCACGACATAATTTTGGTATATAGGAGACCAGATCAGAGTCGCATACTCCAACTTGCTCCTGACAAAAGTAAAAAATAAAGTCATTAATGTATCAACATTGGAGAAACCCTTCCAGTTTCTGATACAGAAACCAAGTAGTCGAGTGGCAGCCGACGAGATATTGAGTATATGCTCGGTGGTATCTAAAATGACTCCAAGGTATCTACGTTATAAGAGGTGCATCTGTCTATAACCTGACCATTGATGTTATAATTATCATAAGTTAGATAGTTAACTTTTCTTGTATAAGTCATAACTTTACATTTCGAAACATTCAGACTGAGACAGTTTCGTGAACACCATGACGAAATTAGAGTCATCTTGCAACATAACGCAATCCTCGACTGTCTTGACTGACGTGCAGATTTTAAGGTCATCAGCGAAAAACAAATGGAAACACTTCATTTCAAAAGACAAGTCATTAATAAATATTAAAAACAACAATGGACCTAGATTTGACCCTTGAGGTACCCCAGACGTGGCCCGATAGTAACTCGACCTATGACCACCATATTCGACAAATAACCTTCTATCCCTCAAATATGAATTCATGAGCGACAGCATTGCATCAGACATACCCACTGTTTTAAGCTTATCCAGAAGTGCATAATATCAAGGGTATACAGGGAAAGGGGGAAACTTCAATGACAAAAGGCTTGGGCTTGGGAAAACTTATTTCGGCAAGTTAGTACTTAAAACTCTTAGCGCAACGTTTTACGTTTGAACTCTGAATGACAGGCTTTTTTCATAGATAAAAAGGTGAAAACACTCAAAATATTGATACCCTTAAATAGAAGTGTACGATTATGACTGCATGTAAGGTCAAAGTGTCATTTGCTATTAAACAAATTATAGCCACATGTCACGAGGAGATATTGCAGACCATCTAGCGCATATTTGTTGTAGTTGAAACACACCTTTAGTAAAATATTCCGGAATTTTGATTTTTGTGATTTACAGTTCTTCCTATAAAGCACATGTAAAATAAATATAAAAATAGTGTTGGGCTGTGTTACGCTTTTATGTTGTCAAACTAAGATATTCTTAACACCCTGTACAATAAAAATGCGAGACCCGGCAATATGGTCCGGCGTCTGTTCTTTCTCTGCTTGACTTCACTTCGTCTCGGCTGAGTAGGCGAGCACCTTAACACTTGCACTTCAGATCCGAATCGGGAACCCGCATATAGTTACAAATAGACAGACAGACTGATATCTTACCTAATCAGAGCCGTAGAATGATTTATACGCATTTATTAACCCCGCAAAACCGAAGTAAAACGTGGTTGTAAATCGCCCGTCGGCTACCACGTCGCACAGGCCAGCACCCGAGCGACTCACGCGATGTGTTGTTGCGTAAACTGCATCCGTTTTCTGAATGAGACTTACCAGTCGTTCATAGAAACTGATATGCCTACCAAGCTACGTAACCGAGTATTTTTAATGCAAAAGCAGAGCATTTCGGAATATAAAGTACGCGAAGACTGTACAAACGGTACTATAAAAGTTTTGCAAAACAGCTTTATTTACCAGTCCTTAAACCAGCTCTGGCAAGTTTTACCGGGGAGTGCGGGCCACTCGACAGTAGTGGTCAAATAAGGTTTTGGCGCTGTGAGCTGGAGCATCATGGTGGAGGTAATTCCTGACTTTTCCGCTGGTTTTTCATAGACTCTACAACTTTAGGCATTCACTGTTCTGTGTACCACTTAGCTGTGAGTGTGTCCAAAACGACACGCTCCACAATCCCGCTCGATTTGAAAAATACAGTTATCATTTTTTTCTTAACAAATCGGGATTTTCTGACAACCACGGGTGTATCCTCATTATCGAAGACCCAAACTTTGTTTTGAACCTTGGTCGGCACATTGTAACAATAGTTCCAAGTCTTGTCACGTGTCACGATGCTGTCCATATACCGAGATTGCCCCTTATCAAACATTTTCAGCATCTATCGGCACCAAGTTTTTCGACGAGTCTTCTGCTCTTCCGTCAAACTATACGGTCCCAGAGAGAACAAAGTTCATGAATGTGTAAGGTCTCCTCTATCTGTTGGTATGTCACTCTCTGGTCTTCGTCAATTATTTTCCTCACAGCAGTAATGTTTTCCTGTTACGAGGGATGTCTTTTAAGTTTTTAATATAGAAACATAGTAGGCCGCGCATATCGAACGTCAGTACTGAATTTTAACCGCACTCTTTAGTAAACTTAAATTCAAAGTTTCACAACAATACGTGCAGTGTTCTCACTACAGTAAATTTTTAAGTGTCACCAAGTCATTAGGAAAATGGAACTCAACCGAGAACATTTTCGCGCCATAATTTATTACAACTTTCAGACACAATTATCGCAACAGGAATAACTTGATGAGTTACTGTCTGTTTTCGGCAACGGAGCGCCACATCAGTCGACAATTTCCCGTTGGTATGGAGAATTGAAACGTGGACGGGTGAGTCTTCGCGACGATCCCAGGTGGGTGCACCAAAAACGGCAGTCACCCAGGAAAACGTCGATGTTGTGCGCAAACTCATCATTGAAGATAGACATGTGACATATCGCGAGATTGAGGCGTCCTTGAAGATCTCAAAGACCTCAATTCAAAAAATTTTACATGAAGAATTAGGAGTAAGAAAATTAGTTTTTCGTTGGATACCCCATCTGTTGACTGAAGAGCAGAAAGCAGCCAGGGTTAATTGGTGTCAAAAAACGCTTGACCGCTTCAATTCCGGAAATTCAAAAAATTTGTCCAGCATTGTTAGTGGTGATGAATCGTTGATTTACTGTTATGAACTAGGAAATAAACGACAGTCGGCTGTTTAGGTGTTCCGAGGTGAAGAAAAGCCAACAAAAGTCATCCGTTCTCGAAGTATTTTGAAAAGAAAAGATGGTCGAGACATTTGTGTCAAAAGCGGGTCATATTGCAACAATTCCTCTTGTGAGCAAACAACTGTTACTGCGGATTGGTATACCACCATTTGTTTCCCAAAAGTCATCACCGAGCTTCAAAAAATCAACCCCGAAATAAGAATCATCCTCCACCAAGACAATGAAAGCTCGCACACAGCCCAAAGGACAGGGCAGTATTTAACGGAAGAAAACGTGAAATTATTGGACCATCCTCCATATAGTCCCAATCTAATTCCTAACGATTTCTTTACTTTCCCGAAAATTAAAAACAGACTGCGTGGTCAAAGGTTCCAGTCACCAGACGAAGCAGTTGACGCATTCAAAGATAGCGTTATGGATCTGCCAGCAAACGAGTGGAATAAGTGCTTCGAAAATTGGTTCGAGCGCATGCAGATGTGTATTCATCTTCGTGGAGAATACTTCGAAAAACAATAAAGTCATTTAAAACTACCTACCGTGTTGTTTTATTTCCATATGCAAAACTTAAAAGACATCCCTCGTACTGACATTCGCGGCCTTCCTTCCCTCTCAGCGTCCTCCAGAGTGAAATTGCCCCTTGGTAATTTTTTGTACCATCTGAATATAGTCGAACGATGAGTCCAGCCATTCTTTAATGCAAGCGTCATTTCTTCTAACCGTAAAACTGCCCTTACCTCACTACGTGACCACGATGCGATAGTCCGCACTTTACACTGTCAATACGAATGAACAACTAACTCAACAGACGTGCTGCTGGCAGCTACTATACACTCATGGACATGTCTCAACATGCAGTAAAATGCAGCCTCCTGCGTCCGTTTGTTAAGTCATATTGCAAATCTTTTATAGTGCCCTTCGCATTTTTGGCCCTCGATGCAAAAAAAGATGGCGTGTGCATTTTTGTGTGTACAAGTGCATATGTGCATGCACGACGTTCAAATACTTTAGGTCGATGCTTAAAAATAAAAAAAAATAGAAGCTCGTTCATAGAGTATCAAGCCACCGCGGCCTCCCTGAGCAGATGGGTGGCTGACTCCATCTCGGGCCGCAAGATATCGGTCGTAATTGACTAGTTCTCCTCTTCAACCCACAACGCCAGCACGGATGATCCCCAGGTATCGGTCTGAGCTCCGACAATGTTCCTCTTACATATCAACGGCCTCCTTTCCTGTAACTATCTTGTACAGTTTAATGCTTCCAAAATACAGTGCTGTACCTTGACCAACAAGAAGCGTCCTAGCGCACATCCAGTTTCGATAGCTAGCCGAGTCCTACCAAAGAGCCGTTCATTTCGGCTGGTCGGACTCCATGTCATCGAGGACTTGATCTGGCTCGTCAATAGCCACAGCTGCCGGGAAAAAAATTCTTTAAGCTCTTCATAGGTCTACACATTTTCTGCGCAAAACGAATATCTTTGATACTTACTTGTCGGATCACCTGGAGATCGAGTTTTGTCGTTTCCAACCTAGTAAAAAAAAACAGCTTCAAAAGGGTAAGTTATCGGCCAATTACTGATACTGGTCTTTTTCTACTTTACAGCAGCTTGGAAAGTACTGCCTGGCAGTTTGTAAATGATGCAAATCTAAACGTGGAGTTGAAGTTTGAGCATGATAGAATTGCACAAAATCGATTCATCAACTGTAACTAAATCCGAAATAAGTCGCCTGAAATCCAAGTACAGAGCTGAAATAGTAAAAGGTAAGCAAGATGCACACGATGTGTATATAAACTCATCGAATAATAAACAGCAAGCGATGTGGAGTATTATAAAAGACAATGCAGCTCCTGTCGATAAAAAAATTACCACAACATTAAACGCTAACCAGTTTAATTCATTTTTCACCACCGTTGTTAATAACCTTGTAGAAAGCTTACCGTCACATGCCACTTCACCGCTAAGCTATATGGCTAATCATAGCAGAAAAAA